CAGTTTTCCTTTGCCTTGTGCGCTTATTCGCATGGGCATAGTTTCTTTTTGCCATTCACTGAACCAACAGACATATCGAAATTGCCGTATTTCAGACCTTGTCCGATGTACCGTCAGATTTCGAATCGATGGCAGAGTTCATAGTCGAGTCTAGAATAGATGCAGATGTGAGTTTTCTTGAACAATTGAATGTTTTTCCTCAAATTCCTCACATTGCTTTGGTTTTTGAGTTGGCAGCTGTTCGTTGGTTGCTGACAGCCAGATCTGTTGAACTAAAGAACGTCTGCAAATTGTATTGGAGGGGATCTCTTGGGACTCGATTACTGAAGTTTACATTCCATAGCGGTTCTTAGTATGAATTCATTGTTCAAAGCTGTCAAAGATGAGCAGCTTAGAAGTGAGATGTTTGATATGAAATCGCTATCGCACTCCTTTTTGGAATGGTCATTAAGTTTCTCCCTTTTTCATTAACTGGGCTCGTGCAATTTGATCAGTGTCATTCGTAGAGAACCAAAGCGAATTTATAAAAGCTGTGAAATATTTCGCTTTTTTTGCTTGCCGCTTGTTAGTTACAGCTTAACTCTTGATCTGGGATGGACCACTCCATTCTTCTAGAGGTCGGCTGGTGAATCCCACAGTGGGTTATCTGCGTTTCTTGCGAAACTTCGCCCCGGTTTTACTATACCACGACCTTGCGCTCAGTTGCAATCTGTAATATCGCAATAAAAAGCAAGGTTTTCTTACCGTGAATGTTGTTCGAGAGGTTTTGTAAGTTTTGGATGGATAAATGTCGTTAAAAGAACAAGTTCATGATCTGGCTGGTGTTTTTATGAATGCATCACAGTTCCTTGTAGAAGAAAACCTCCTTGAATCGCAGGGGAGATGGAGACGGACCGGCGCGTTGCATTCACCCCGTTAATAGCTCGGGGAACCAAGCGTAGGAACTGTACGAAACCAATGGGGTTGCTGGTTTCCTTAGATTTGTAGCGCAGGCTTGATACTTTCAAATGTACCCATATTTTTGTCTGGAATCGTTGGCAGGGCGCGTTACTGGGCAGTTGATCGATTTCTTCTGCTTTCTTTCTCCTGCTTTATCGCTGTTTACCATTACTGTGAGGGTAATTATCTGCTCTAAGGTGTGCCATGTTCTGGTCTTGAAATGTAGAGTAGGTCTAAGGTAGATTTGATTTTGCATGCCAGTTCCTTTAAGATCGAATTTCTATGGAGTTATATATTGATCTATTATAGGCGGATGTCGAAGAGACGGATCGAGAGTATTATATGAGTCGACGAACCAGTATGGACGAATTAAGCGAAAGTGGCCGAGCGGATAGTTATGAGTTCACATTCTCAAGGAATTACAGCTAGTACTGGAGAACGTGCCATTGATTGCATTGGAAAGGACGAAGCAAAAGTGCTTTGATTAGCGAGGAATTTCGTCAGGCCTCATGTTCACCGCTTAATATAGACCAAAGATCAAGGATGTGCGAAGAAAATAAGGTTCGACCTTTTTTCTATCCATTTTTGTCCTTCTGGACACAGTGACTAAGTTAGTTCGTTTTTGTATTCATGTTTGAGTTTTGAGTTTTTCTTTCGCACATCTTTGAAGTTTGACTTTTTTGGTGCTTTCTGTCTGCTATAGCTCTCACCATACTAGCTTTGCCATTTGTCTATTACCTTTTTACTCGATTTATTTACAATATCTTCTCAATTTTCTCATGGATTTTCTTACAATGTTTATTACTTCATAATCTTCTTCACAGGCTATTTAAGATTTTTATTTGAGGAAGGACATAGAGCTAGAAGTGGGTTTCTCTGGTAAGGTACCATGATTTCTGGTAGATAAGCCCGCGCCGATACCACGTAAAAACACCTCCGCTCGTGCAGTGTAATTTTGTACACCTTAGAAACTACCGTAAATTTGCCTATAGAGGTAATTCGATGCCCTGATTACGAAAATGACTTTCATTTTTAGCGGTGGCGCCATCTGGCGCCAGTTGGCGTCACCTTGTCACGACACCTGTTTTCACCAAATTTGGTGTAAACTTCCGTATAGGGGTTATTTGGTGTCCTGATTACGAATATGACATTCTTGGCGCTGGCGCTATTTGGCGCCTATTTTCTGCTCGTCTGCGCTCTCCAACCGAGAAATATGCGTTGAACAACGTTAATGCCAAAAACGAATGTCATATTCGTAATCAGGGCACCAAATAACCCCTATACAGAAGTTTACACCGATTTTGGTGAAAACAAGGGTCGTGACAAGGTGACGCCAACTGGCGCCAGATGGCGCCACCGCTAAAAAATGTCGTTTTCGTAATCAGCATATCGAATTACCCCAGAGTCAACCGTGCGTTGCGCAGTTCTCAACGGCCACGTTGCGCAGTTTCGCCCGATCAGACACGTTCTCTCGCGCGAACATTCACACTCGCATGCTCGAGCCGTCTGCGTCTCCGCCCATACAGCGTGCGTTGAGGATCTCTCAACGTGCCGTTGCGAACTGCGCAACGCACGGTTGACTCTGGGGTAATTCGATATGCTGATTACGA